AATATTTAGCTGTCCGGTCGTCCTGTAAGTAGTATTTTATGTGAGATTAACAAATAGGGTTAAACACTTGATAGTTTCATGCAACATGACAGACTTAAAAAAAGAAATGAATCCATAATTAATATTAATGAAAATTAAAAACTGTCAAGGCCTCAACTTATAACATGGATGTTAACACAACCAACAATCTTATTGAAATGAAACAGTATTTGCGAGTCGTCTGAGAGCTCAGACACTGCAACATAAAGGCGTTTGTAGGTTTTCGGATGCTCTATCAGCAGCAATGAAATATAATATTTATAATTATTATTGTTGGTGTATAGTAAACTCAACTAAAATAAGAATTGTTTGGTTTTATTAAGCTTACAATAAGACCTTCATATCATCATACATTAGGACAATGGGTTCTCTTCCATGGAGCCCACCATGTCACACCACCACCTTTCTAGAGCAGCTCAGGATGGACAAACCAAACACTGGCTCTACAGAGGTCCCGTTTTTACATTAACTAAAGCCTACTGTCGATTCTCCATCACATTTGAAAAGGGATGGGTGAGAGCGGTGGTTTTCAGTTGATTGCAGTCTGCAACCTCACCACTAGATGCTGCCAAATCTTAAACACTGATCATTAACTGCCTTTAGAAAAAAAAAACCCACTGCAACTATAGAAAACACTTGTAAATACAGAGACACAGAACACAATAGAAATTAGTTTTGACAATTGAATTTACTTCGTAGAAATAAAATGTGTACACTTTCTATTTCAACTAAAACATTCTGATTTCATGATTCAGATATATGTTCCATCATTTGAATGATGAACTAGACATCAGCAAAACATTAAGATTTATGGCAACACATTTTGTCAAACTGCCAGATGTGTTTTATGTCTTTGCAGATGTTCTGAGCTTTCAGGGCCAGTGGCATCATTTTCCCAGCATAGCAGAGAAAAAAAAAATCCATATATTTATCTAAAATTTGGCCAATATGTCAGAACATGCTTACCACGGTGGAACAAAGATTCAGGGAATATGCTGAAGGAATGGTCTGACATTTTTCAGTGGAAGCTTTAAACACTTTTTATTTCTGCTGTCAAACCGAGTCATCTTTGAAATTCATGTGACCACAGCTTCTTTGGTCTGTGAATGTCACCTGTCAAGATTCACGAAACGTTGCTTCTTGATGGAGCACTCACCTTGTGAACAGGGTACGCTGGATAAATGTTGCACAACAAACCCCTGAAGGTGCTTGCAATCTTTACTTTACTTTATGAAATGAAACTCTGAGGAGGAAGGGACATGCAGGAAACAGACACCAACCATTTCTTATCAACAGTTTATAACCTGTGTTAAAGTTGCATAATCACTTTTACTGTCAATCTATGTCTCTTTATTCCTTGTTATCAAAAATTATGCAAACTAAGTAAACTTTATGACAATACTGACCCATGTGCAATTTCAGTGTACAATAGCAGATGGTGGCCAAACATTAACAGCTGTATATCATAGTTCTCTCTCTCCTCTGTAACGGAGGTTATTTTGGTTCAAGGTTGAAGCAGCAGAGCAGATTAACTGAGCTGATTGTTTAGTGTGGTTGCAAAACAAAAGAGACAAGTGGGACAGTTAAATAAGGCGAATCTTGTATTTTCCTATTTTTATGTACCGGAATATATTTATCTATTGTATTGCTTTGAAGCCACAGTCACTATCTCTGTTCACTGACTATTGATTGCTTGTAACTCAGGTGTTGTAATCCAGCAATGGAGGTGTATTTTATCACAGTACTGGGCGTAAGCTGTCACAAGCTGGCTCAAAGTGTGTTATGAAGGAGGCAGAGAAGCCAAGTTCAAGTGCCAACGAATTCTATTGATTTTCACACACTGGCCAAGACCTGAATTTACCTCATACTGCAGAGAAAACTGGCGTTTACTTGAAACAGGCCGTCAGTCTAGTTTGCTCCTGTTTTACTTTTCATGTACTTTTCCATTGCATTCATTTCATCCACACATTAGTTATTTCAAACCCATCACATTGCTGCCCCCTCTGTTTTTGAAGCTCCTTCCAGCAAGAAAGTCTGCAGCAATTCATTCTCTGGGGACCATGAGCAACTGAACGAAATTCAAAATAAAAAATATATGCGTTTAGATATTTTAGTCAGAACAGTGATTGAGACTCCTTGTTTTCTCTTAGTGGGAAAGAGTCACTTGCATTTCAAGAGAAGCTGTAAGGATTATAATTCACTGTAGACGCTCCAACAACGTGAATCTACATAAATCTGTCTTCCATCCGCTCTTGTTTGCAGCACAGTCTGTCTATCCAATACAAATGATGCACATAAGAAGCTGGTAAAAAAATATTGAACCCAGACAAACTTCAGACTACAGTTGCAAGTTATTGTCAATTAAATCACGATTTTACCCATTTGCCTTGAGTTAGTTAGTTAAACCACTGTAAATTATATTTCAATTATACAGTGTTAAATGACACTTTCAAAAAGGATGCATGCAGTGATGAGCCTGCAGAGAATTCGAACCTGAGAGAGTTTCATTGTTTAGCTTTAAGGTCAACAGTTTGACTGTTTTCACCTAAACATCACAATTCAGTCAAAGAGAAGCTGGTGAACATAGTGGAGCAGCTATAGACGCATTGATCTGGTGAATTTACAAATGACTCTATATGACATTGCTATGTAACTACTGGATCTGTAAATATTTAAATGTTTCCCTACGACTTGTTTCTGCTGCTGCTCCCATGTGGCGGGAAAAAAATCAGCTTTGCTTTTTCTTTCACTTTTTCAGGTGGTTTCGTTGAACTCAAAATGTCATCGGCAAGTGAGACCTGAGAACAGCTACATATACACAAAACAATATCGAGACAAGTCACACAAAACAATCATCAGACTTGCAGAGACACTGGTGAGAATAATCACACATATTATTTGCACCCCTTGACCTTTACTCCCTTATGCCTTAAAGAAGAGTTTGTGCACAGCAGGTCCAGGATGAATTTGTCAGTCTGTCTGAGCAGAGACACAAATCACAGGTTTATGTTCAGGTATGCTCTCTACATAAAATGCTGTTGGATCAAAGGCCTTGTTCATGGAGCGTGTGGATAAGCTTAAGGTGTCAAGTTCATCACCTGCTGCTTTTATCACACCTGTGCCTGTCACTGAGACAAAAACTTGACACTGGACTGTACACTCACTACTATTTGTATGAATGAATAAATGAATGAATGAATGGGTGAAAAACTGTATTCATGTACTGCGCAGATATATTTCTTCTGTCAACTGCACATGCAGCTTTTTTAGAAATCATCTACAAATGCAAATGTTTGTACCAGTGCTTTTAAGTGTGACATGAAATCCTTTTTAAAGCAACTGGTGAAGCCCATTGGACAAATCTCCCCCAGTTCACAGTAAAAGTGACTCGGGCTTGTGTAATTTCTCTCTTTGCATATCTTAAACATGAGCTACACTGAGCCATATTTAAATCAGTTTTTAAAGCTTTACAGATTTTATAGACGCTTTTGGGGTTTTTCACAGCGATCCAACCCATCAGATGGTTTACAGGCTGTTTTCATTTTATTGAATGAACCAAAAAATACTGTGAGCAGCAACAAAGCAGGTTTTACCTTGAAAACAACAGATTTGTTATTTTTGTGGAACAATAACCATGTTTATCTCGAGATGAAACAAAAACACATCTTTCATCAGCAACAACTTCATTGACATACTGTAACTAAAAAGCTATGGTTTATGTTGTTGAAAAAATTCCACTACTGCAATCAATTTACATTTTAAGTTTGTATTAAAAACAGCAGAAATTTGATAGTAAACTGAACATTTTTGAGTTTGGCTTATAACATAAATTTGAAGTTAAAGACAGTTGATTTACACTTTCCTGTCATTCACTGATTCATGTGCACTTTAATCAGCTGCACTGCAATGATGAGAAGAGGGGTTAATTAAGACTGTGATCACTGCACATTATCCATTATCCAGTGTGTGTCCCGACTATCTCCTAATGTCAGCTGGGATTAGCTCCAGATACACGTTAGAGATAATAGATGGATGGATCTTTGAAAAAGTATTTGATATATACTGTCGTGTAGTTTATATATCTGTATCTGTCTGAAACTCTGACATCTCCACCCTGTTCCCACAGTGATGAGATGAAAGAAGAGCTGGGCATTATACTTCTCTCTCTACCTTTTTTTTTTCATTCCCTTACATCTGTCACTATTAATGAGAACAGTCGAGTACAACACCATGAACATCTTCTAGGAGGGACTGAACATGTGCCCCAGAATCCCTGTCTTCAAATGACACTGCCTCCTCCCCCTTCCTCTACTTCTTTTTGCTAAGTGCCATTATACATTTGGCTTGAACACAAGGTTTTAAAAATACCCAATACCCAAACGTCCTCCATGGAAGTCTCTGCAGAATTACAGGCATTTGCCTATAATCTGTGGATCTGCAGATGCAGATATACTCATACATCAAACATCTCAAAATTCCACATCTGTTCACAGACAAAGACTCTCTGCTCATACATAGTTATTTATGCATTGTTTTTAAACAGCCTTGGCCGTGTTCAGTATATTACTGCATACAAATAATTATAAATAAAACTATTGTATGAAAAAGGTTTTTGTTTAATAAAAAACTGTGCTGGATGTTTGTGCATCATACTGGGAATTTCTAACTTCCTCGCTGTCTCTGAGTACAAAAAGAATTTTGAGCAATGTACTCAGATGATGGGAATAGTGGGCGGCCATAGTGACGTGACACGCTGTATTTTAGGTCATTTTTAAGGAAAGAAATGTTTCCCAAATCCAAAGATCCCTCAAAGCTGCTGCACATGATTTCTATCAGAGGGCCGCAGGGAGAGGAGATAGTGAGTGGTGGCAGAGGAGGAGGAGAGGGAGAGAGAGGGAGAAGGGGAGAGGAAAAGAGATAAAGAGAGAGAGGACAGTCATGTACTTACGAGCAGACACCCACACACAGTTTCTCACATACGCGGCATACACATCGGAGCACCAGCTTTCTAGCTGCTCTGAGTTTGTGCATCTGTTCCTGACGCCAAGATGCCATCCTGCAGCTGGCTGTTGGCTCTGTGTGTGGCAGCGTTGGCAGGTAAGAAGTTCCTCTTTATCCTCACTGATGTGTGTGAAGACTTTGATTCAGCTGCTCTGATCTTTAATATGTCTATTTAAGATGTGAAGAGGTGTAAAATCATTCTTTATTTGTTTTTTGTATCCTGTATCCTCTTCTATAATTCTGCTGTGCAATTACAACCACTTTTATTGTGCGTACTTAAAATCCTGTCATGCTGTCTCATGAAAACACTTGCAAAGCGGGCAGAAGATATTGCCATCTGTTCTTTGCGTGCCTGTAGATTTACTCATCAGGATTTCTTTGCATAAAATTTGTCTTGGAGGATGACATGTGATCTGTTTGTCCTCTTCCCATTTTTCTATGTTCAACAGATCATCGGGTGACTCTTATTAGGCTACACAAGTTATTTGGTCCTGAAATTTAAATCACATGGATTCCACAGATTGTGGCCAAACGTGGAGCTTAAGTTTACAGTTTGTGTCACTTCCCAAGGTCTTTTACCACTGTGTGTTTGTCATGTCAGGAGACTCTGCTGGTGCTGCTGCGTACGAGCGAACTGAGAGGAACTGCTCTCTGTCCCCGCCGGTGAGACCAGCTTGTCAATGAAAACATTATGACTTTGACAATAATTGACAGAGTCATTATTGCCTTTATCCATAAAATAATAAAAATCAAGTTGACATCAGAGAAGTCACTCTGTATTGTGCTCTTATTTAACATTTAGTGTGTTTTTTATACAGTTACAGTTAATGATTAGTGGACAGGCTCTACAGTTAATGATTACAGTGAGAGATACAGAAAGAGGTGATTCAGCAGTTGCTTGGGTTTTAATTAAATCTAATGACTCTTTCACACTCTGTCTCTCTCCTCCCTTTGTGTGTGTGTGTGTGTGTGTGTGTATGTGTGTGTGTGTGTGTGTGTGTTACAGTACCTCCGAGGCGCTAATACCACACTCCAACTGCAGAAGTTACGAGCGAAAATGCTTCTCCTGAATATCAATGCATATATTATCCCTGGCACTGATGCTCACCTGGTACATCTGCTGTCCATCATAATGAATTCATCTGTGTCTAAATCATGTGTGTGTGTGTTTGCATGTGTGTAATCTACTCTGTTTCTCTTCCAGAGTGAATACATTGCTCGACGGGATGCTAGGATGGCCTTCATGACCGGTTTCACAGGCTCCGCAGGTACATGGTACAATCCTTTTCTGCCTCCTCCTCTCGTTCATCCTCCTAATCCCTGTGACTCAACTCCCCACGCCTGAGTGCTGTGGCCTCGCAGCTTCTCTACTTTCATCCCACATACTCACCATAAAGCCTACCTTCCCCTTTGTTCATTTGGTTTCATTGCCTTGACCCAGTGTATCATTGCGTCCTCTCATTCATCTGCGCTCGCCTTTGCACAGTAACTTGACCATTAAATCATGAGATCTGTTCTCACGCAAAAATGGTTAACAAAATGAACGATCATGCATATTTCTTCGCTCAGCTTTTGCACGGATGAAGGGATGAGGCGATAGATGAAAACCCAGTAATGTGCTCTTTGCAACCAACCATTTCTTGGGCCTCTATGAAGGTTGTCTTATTTAGATTTGAAGATGTACTCATGCTGCTACTGAAGTGTATGTATCTCATGTGAGGGTACAACAGTGGAATGATAATGTAAGCCCTCATTTTATATCCACCGCACATCGGCACTTTGCTATCTCCTCGCTGTTTCTTCTTAACCTTTCCATCTTTGTCCTCACGCACACATATTTCAATATTAGCTGGCCCATCACGCATTGTTGTAAGTCAACACTGACATTTATAGTCGTTTGTTATTCACTGTCACTCCTGCCCTCTCCATAACACGGCTGCCGTCCTGCCTCTCTCCACAGGCACTGCTGTAGTTACTCAGACCAAGGCCGCTCTGTGGACGGACAGCCGCTACTGGATTCAAGCGGAGAGAGAGATGGACTGCAACTGGGAGCTGGAAAAAGATGGTGGGGAGCAATGATACTGTGACTTCTTGTTATGACAACGCAGGGCACACAGATTCCAGTCTAAGATTTGTGGTTTTGATGATCCGGTCTAAAAATATCCTGACAAATGCTGCAGCTATTATTGATAAAAATAGCCCTGGAACAAACTGAAATAAGTGCATGCTTTGTCCTGCAGAAACAGAACATGTAATGCTGATGGTCCCACATTTGTAAAACAGAAACTTAATAGAGAGCAGATTTTCTAATATTCGAATAGGCAACTCAGCTTTTATGACTTTTTATTTATAGTGGCCAGAAAGTGATGGTTCACTGTGTAATTTATTGTATAAGAAGTTCCTTAGAACACAACTACCACATCAATAGAAACTATATTATGTGAAATTGTGAAATCGTCATACTGTCTGACCTTTTGGTTATTTTTGGTGTCTACATTTTGTGTTTAATACATTTTTTAACTGACAAAAACATTTTGAATATCACTATGGTTTATCACAGTATTCACCACAGGTAGGCCACTAGATTTATTCTGTCACTTTCTCCAAAGTCAGTAATGATTCCAGTCTGTCATGTGTGATTTCCTCCAGTGTCCATCATGAATGTGGCCGGGTGGCTCATCGCTGAGGTTCCACCAGGCGGCCACATTGGCTTTGATCCCTTCCTCTTTTCCCTCGGTGAGTCTCTCTCCTCCAATGCCTCCTGTCAGTCCAGGTTAACATCAATAAACCGCATAAGTAGATGGAAAATTATTGGCAGAGCCGCCAGACGCCACACAGACTGTTTACTTGTGATTGATTTGCTTCGTTGAGTGTAATCATCTGCAATTTCCTCCATTAGAAACACAGGAGAGCTACAGCGCCAATCTGCAGTCGAGCAATCGCAGCCTCAAGTCCATCCTCGGTAACCTGGTCGACAAAGTGTGGGAAGCCAGACCGCCCGTCCCACCTCACAACCTCACCCGCCTGCCAGACAGAGTCATACGTGAGTTTCCTTCTTTATGTGTGCTTGTGTCTGTGAGTGCGTCTGCACTGTTCACACAAAGGCCTACACACTGCCGTTTATCTATGTGCTGATAAATACCTGCAAACTGAACAAAGGGCAATAAGTGGCTCCACAAACACAGCCATAAACATGGCTCGTGTTGAATGTCTGTTTGACAGATCAAATACGAACTTCGAGAGAATGAAGGTGCCTCCAGATAAGGAAGTTGTCTAGACATCCATGAGCCTTATTCTTCTTTATGGTCAGAGAATAGACAAATGAAACGAACGGAGAGGATCATAAACCTAATGGTTTATTTGTGTATGTCTTTGTTCATTTGACTGCAATCTGGTAAAAAGCATTCCATACGGAGGTTTCAGAAAGTCTTTTATAAATACCGTCTCATGGTGTGGAAAGCTTTCTCTGTCAGTCTGAGGAGAGGGATGAGCAGTTTTCTAGATGATAAAGGTGTCAAAGAAAAGCCGAAGTCACTGAAAAAGCACTTATTCGCCTGCACTTAGTCAGAAGCATCACATTTACAAAAAACACTGCTGTTCAAATTGACAAATCCACAGAGAGTTATCACCTGAAACATTTTAGCATTTTTTATCTAACTTGATTTTGTTCTGTCTTTAACTGAGCTCCATGATTTTCAAACAAGAAATACAAACTGTTGCTTCATACAGAAGCTCTTGATTACCAAACAGGCCGACCGGGCACAGGTTCGAGTGTCACAAGAGGTCGGGAGGCCTGTGCCTGTTTCAAATGCAAATGAGCGTCAAATGTTTGGGATGTGGATGCAAAGAAAATCAAACATGTGTTTTTCCAGAAAGGACGTGGCAGATGAAAGTGGATCACATACGGAATCAGATGAGGGAGAATCCATACCAGCCCACAGCTCTTCTGCTCTCAGCGCTGGATGAAACAGCCTGTAAGTAACGCTTACACTCAAGTTTCAATTAATCACGATGCTGATAAAGGAGAGAAAATTATTTTAATCTATATGAGAGCTATAAAAATAAATTGAATCTACTTAATCTACTCTAATACTCAAATAATTTGTTTTGTCAGATTTACTGTTGCTCTTCACCACCACAGAAATACAATTTGATATTACCCTCAAGACAATTGATTAAAGGTTTTCATGAACTAAAATCAAATTTGCTGACCTCCATTTTACCATTAAGATGACTACATGAACATGAATTTTAAACAAATTCAATTTTCAGCAATAATGCAAAAAGCAAACCATTAATTACCAAAATATTTTGAACTTACCACCAGTATTACAAAGAATCAGGATGGATCATCGATATGAGATCAATTAAACTAATAATGTTTTCAAAGTTAAATAACAATAGTAAATAATATCAGAATAGGATACTGTTTTCAGAAAACATTGAATTGACAAAATGTTCAACAATGTTTTCTTATTTCTGGGCCACTGGTGGCTGCAGGGGGCTGAATAGCCACTTTAAGCCTCTGGCTGAATATAAAACAAACAACAATCCAAAGCGCATGAAAGACTATGGCAGACTATCAGACACAAATAGGACAGTATGGAGGTATTAAGAAAATATACAAACTTGAAACTTTTAAATAACCAGTTATAAACTGACAATGATGCAGGATAGAAGCAGTGTGACTCATCAGCCCAGCATCTGGTACATGAACAGTGTATAATTCAGAAGCATCCTCCTCATAATGCACACAGGATGACTGCTCGGCTTCAGACCTCTGCAGACTCCTGAGTTCAGAATTAACAAATCTCTTTCCAATGACGGGGGCTCAGAAAAAGTCACGTACATCAGACACTAACAGAGGATACAGACTGTGTCTCTGTGCTCAGGTGGATCTGTCAGATGGTGTAAATGGATGTGGGAGCTGCTGCTGCTGCTGCTGCCACTGAGTGTTGTTGTGTATTTGTGTTTTTTTAGGGCTGTTTAATCTGCGCGGCAACGACATCCCATACAATCCCTTTTTCTACTCCTACACACTGCTCACAATGGATACGATCTGGCAAGTTCTTTCCCAGGGATTACATGCAAACCCATTAGATTATTTTTTCAATTTTTGTGTCTGTTGCTGTTATTTCCAACACAAACACTAGAAACAAACCAATATCATTGTTTATTATAAATTCAGTATCAGGATTTTTTTTTAAATTCTTGTACTTTCCCTCCCCAGGCTCTTCCTCCACACAGAGAGAGTAACAGAGGAGTTGAAGGTGTACCTGAACGCCTCATGCAACGGCTCCCTCTGTGTGCAGCTAAAAAGCTACGACACTGTTCAAGATGATTTAAAGACGTATGTGGCTCAGCCAGGAGTTAAAGTGTGGATCGGCACAGAGTACACAAACTATGCACTTTATGAGGTTATTACACCAGAGGTATGCAGACATCTTAAAAATGAAATCATTTAATTGTATATTTGAATATAATGATTATTATTATGATAATTGTTTACATTTTTGTTGTTTCCCTGCATTAATCAGGACAAACTGATGACAACCTCCTACTCTCCTGTGTTAACAACAAAAGCCATTAAAGATGACACTGAGCAGCAAATCCTGAGGGAAGCTCACGTACGTCAGCTGTGCACAGACATACTCAGGCTAAACATGAGCAAACCACAATGTACATGCACACCGTAGACTTTAAATAAAGATGGATGCCAGGACACCTAAGCTAAAGCAACTCAGAAACCCTGCCTCCTCCATGTTAGCAGATGGGACATGGACGAAATTCAAAGTCAAAGTACACATCAAATACATTTTTCTCGAAGATGGTTTCTGTCAAGTTATTGCTGCTGTAAACATGGGATGAAACATAATGATTGACAGCCAATTGTGTATCGGTGGGACCTCGATACCATGATTTAATCTCTCAAACACTAATGCTCAGATTCTCCAAATTATGTATTATAGCTGAACACACACCTTGATATATTTTTATTACCTCATCCAAAGACGTCTGAAAAGCTTTGTAACATGTGAGGTTTGAGTCCGTGTGTCACTGTGGCTCTCTGCAGGTGAGGGATGCAGTCGCAGTCATCCAGCTGCTGATATGGCTGGAGAAGGCTGTGCCCGAGGGGAAGGAGACTGAGCTGACTGCTGCAGCTTACGTCAACAAGTGCCGCAGGTGAGCGCCAACGCAAACACTGACAAACAGTAGGGATGATCAAGAGCCCAGAGAGCACACACAACTTTAAAGACACTGAAGTTCAAACTCAGACATGTCCATTGAAATGAAAAACATGAAGTCCAGACAAAGTATTGAGCAGTTAAAGGTACAATCACTTCAAAGTGCTTTTTCACAGCTAAAGTAAACACCATTACAGCAAACAGAAGGACAGCAGAGGCCCAAGCTTTGACACCATCTCTGCAAGTGGACCCAATGCTGCCCTGGCCCATTACAGGTAAGATTAACTTATTGTCTTTTACCTCTCCTTGTTGGAGGGTTCAAACATGCTCGGACATTATTTGAAAGTCGACTGCTGATACGGCTCCATTACTATCATTATCCTCAATGTAAAACTATTAATTCAAGTTCAACACTCATTTACTGTGAGCTCACATTGAGATATTATCTATTAAAGGCAGGAGATGCATCTAAAATAATACAATGAAATGAAATGACATGAAAAACAAGAGCATCTGAGGGGCAAGGAATCAATCTACAAATTTAAAACATGATTTAGAAAATGTCCAAAGGTCTTGTAAAAGCTTGAGGCCTAAACGCAAACACTGACATGGTCCTCATAGTCCTGATATTATTTCCTGTTTGTTGCAGCCCGTCAGCAGAAACCAGCAGGAAGTTGACGGTTGATGAGATGTACCTGGTCGACTCCGGAGGACAGTATCTGTGAGTAAAACACACTCTGATTCACACTCTCCTCCAGTTTCACTTCACATCGCTTACTTGTGAAATGACTCATCCTGTCTGTCACTACTGATACTAATACAAATACAACCGCCACTAGAGACGGGACCACTGACATCACTCGGACAGTTCACTGGGGAACCCCTACACCGATGCAGAAGGTAACAGGTTTAATTAAAATACCAAAGTGTGAATGTTTAAAAAGATATTTAAATTATCGCTGTGAAATATCATCCACATATTTCCTGCTGTCATTTTTAAGATAGATTGGCACTTTAATGATCCCTGACGTCATTATGTGTTCAAGCAGTAAATCAACACTAAAATAAAACTGTACAAAAAAGCAGACAACAAATTGTGCAATAAATAAAAAAATAATATGACTGATAGAAAGTGTGTTGAGTTACAGCTCAGCATTGTGTAAACTCAGGTTTTTCACACAGTCTCAATCCTGTATCACTTTGCAGGAAGCCTACACACGAGTGCTCATGGGAAACATTGAGATATCTCGAACCATATTTCCCTCAGGGACAAGAGGTGGGGATGAAAAAACACTTTTCAAATGAGATTTACGATTCTACTCTGACACTTTTCTGTGGTTCACCACGAGAGAGCGCTGTTTCTCCACATCATTGTGTCTGTGTCTGCAGCAGTATCTTTGATTTGAGCGTCCCTGTGTTTTGTTCATCAACAGGCGTGAACATAGAGATGCTGGGCCGCAGGGCATTGTGGGAGGTGGGCCTGAACTACGGCCACGGCACAGGTCACGGTGTTGGAAACTACTTTGGAGTTCATGAGTGTACGGCTGCTTTAACTTTTGTTATGACCTTCAGAATACACGACTTCCTGTTTTACTCAGATTACTATATTCAGCAGTGACGTCGCTATTGACCAATCAACTGTTTAGCTTATAAGATGTAAGAAAAACAGTCTCATTCAAATGTTTAAACAAATTTAAACTAAGCAGCTTTTTCATGAAATCAGAAAATAATCTTGATGACTCGAATGTAACATATTGTCATGATGTTGTGATGTTTCTGCTGCAGGGCCGGTGGGTTTTCAGAGCAACAACATTCCCTTCAGAGCAGGAATGTTCACATCAATAGGTGAGACTTTAAAACCAATATCATGATCATGAAGAGAATGAACTTCACATGCACATTTCATAGCTCGAATGTTTGAAGGTAGATAAACAAACTGTTGTTTTCTTTAAGAACCTGGATATTACAAGGACAACGACTTCGGGATCCGAATTGAAGATGTTGCTGTGATCGTACCCGCCCAAACGAAGGTCGATGAATTTAATGACAATATGTGACATCAGCAGAGTGAGATCAGATCTTTGGAAATAACATCTGCCTCCGTGTTTTCTGTTTACCCTCAGTATGGTCACAACTTTCTGACCTTTGACACCGTGTCACTGGTTCCATACGACAGAAAGCTGATTGACACGTCTCTCCTCAGCTCAGAGCAGGTAAGACCAGTGTTTGACGCCATCGTCCACTTCATGTTTGTTAAGAAGTTACTAAACCTGCACTGTAATTATTTTTAAAAGGAGGTACTTAAAAAAGCTGACTCTGCATTATACAAACACAAGTTTTCCTCTAAAGTGATCAAATCTGATTCCTGTTTTAAATTGTTAATATAATGTTTGGTATAACATAGCTTTTCCTGCCTTAAGAGCAGGTTTCCTCTAATGAAACTTCCCCTTTAACACGTCGCTTCTCTGCAGCTCAGAGATAAAAACAAAACCACGTGTGAAGTTTTACATCTGCTCTCTTCTTCCTGTTAATCTGAAGAGAAAGATATTTTGGTAACATCAAGGAACAGTTAATAAAAAAGGTCATTTTCTGAAACAAGGAGAAACTTGTTTTTTCACTTGAGTAGACGTTTAATGTAGAATCTTTACTTGTAATAAAGTATTGTTGCATTGTGTCACTATGTTGCATTATGTTTTCTGGCTGTCCGTCCTTCACATTGTTCAGAACACGATCTGAAGAACACATTGACAGAATTTCTTCAAATTTAGTACAAACGTTTACTTGGATTAAAGGATGAACTGATACGATTTTATTGGTCAGAGGTCAAAGATCAAGTTCATGGTGACCTCATAAAAATGCATGTAGAAGTTTAAGTAAACAATCAGAACATCAGAATGTAGACTGAGAACATAAGTGATCCAAGTATTGATCCCTGTGGAACACCATATTTAATGTATTCAACCGCATTTAGCTTCAAGTAAAACTGAATTATTTTGTGCTTTTTTAAAAAAGTTTTCCAATGTTTTCATTTAAGTTCATCCGTGATATTAAACAAAGCTACACGTCAGCAGCGTAGATCTTTCATCCAGAGTTCTTCTGTGTGTCTCCAGCTTCAGTGGCTGAATAACTACTACGAGGCGATCAGGAGGCTGTTGGGGCCTGAGCTGGACAAACAGAAGCTTCATGAAGAGAAGGACTGGATGCTGAGACACACCGAGCTCTTCACCGCATCTGGATCGTCTGCGTCTGTCTCTTCCTCCTCGCTGACGCTCATCACTCTGGCCGTCGCTCTCCTCCACAACTTCAACTAAGCATCTTCTAACGCTCACTCCATCCTATGCAGACTTGCACACTGACATTACCCCTATGCAGTCTCTATTTAGCAGCTATGCCAGGTTAAGAAATGCACTGCAGTTTAGATTTTTTTAATTAAAGGATGTTTTATAATTTAACTCTGTGAATAAATGTCTGTTATTGTGACAGTCAAGATTTAAAAATGAGCTTTTGTGTGATTTTTGATGTTTTAGTTTTTTTTTTTTTTAACTGGACATTTGTATGACCAGCTGCTTTAATTTCTTTTTTATTAAAGTAAGACTCTGCTAAACAGAGAAGTATTCTTGGTTAATAATTCTTTAACACCGGTGACTTGACTTGAACTTTAACCTTACTACTTAGAGCACTGATAGATACAGTGAGGGAAGTCCACATATCAGCTGTGACTTAAAAACAAAATCTAAAATGTCACAATGAGTATTTTACATTATCAGTATAATATGTTGTTGTGTAAAGTATTTCTACAGTGAAATATTGATACTTTTACATGAGAGGAGGATCTAAATACGTCTCCACCACAGTCTCTTGGTTTTATGCTTTCATGGTCTGCAGACACATCAGACTGGTTGCCACTCAAATAACAGGAAATTGAAGTAGGGCATCTTCATCTCATGTGGTTCACTACCCCACCAAAATAACAAGCTGACTGACATTAGACTTCCCTCTAACAGTGTTTACCTGAAGTGTGCAAACAAAAGCACGGACATTTCTATGAGGTACTCAACTATTCATGTTTGTAGAGTCGGCATGTGTCGGACCTCACAACTCATTTGACTCTGAAAAAGGTTCCATGTGTGACGGTGGCTGCGACATGCCTCCGCTGCAGCTGCAGACCTGTCACAGTTCAGTTTCTAAATGTGTCTTCTGGAGGTCTTTCACTTCCACTCTTCAGCTGTCTAACACCCCCCCCCTTATGGCTCCATTTCAGCAGACTGAGGAGACCACTCATTAACTTCTCTCAGGTTAAAGCAGCTGAAAACATCACCTGCACCTTTGCTTGTTTATTCGTTTCTTTCTGTCTTTCTCAGCAGGGTTATGAACTGATTTCCATGAAACTAGAACGGGTCAAGAAACAAACCAATTAATTTTGTTACGCATCTGGAAAAAGAAGCAGATCCAGGATTTTTTTTTCCAATTTTCACCTTTTCAACATTTCTGAATCTTGATGCAAAAAATCTGGGATATTTATGTGGCTGATGTGTGAGTGTGGACTTGGCAGAGGTTTACACTCTAGTTGCCGTTCTAGTTCCAGCTGGGACACTTCAGTGTGAGGTTTGTCTTCCATGATCCTTCAGAGCTTTTATCTGACTGGACATGTTAAATATAACCAAGCCTGATTATTTCATCACAATATAAAGAACTAGTGTTTTTTCTTTTTCACCACCAGAAGTGTCATGTTTACCGTCAGTTCAGGTTTGAGTCACAGTGAACCTGAGAAACACATGTAATGCACTCTCTGCCCTGTGTGTGTAAACCTCCGCGACAGAAGGGTTTGCCTCTTCAGTTTTTTGTGTAATGTGACTTCCTCTCAGCTTCTGCACTCGGCTGCAGCTTCCTCTGAGTGTTTTCAATCTTTGGCACAGTGACACAAACTCTGAGCGATTAACGCCGGTGTAGATTTCTCTCTCAACAGTTTGTCCTGACAGACCTGACGAGCACGGAGGAAGATGTTGAGGCGAAAGCCTTCAAACGCCTCTGAGAAGGAGCAGGTGCAGAAGAAGAAGGTGAGTTTTTTCACTTTTTTTCTTTTAAACTTGAGTTTTTCTAAATGTAAATATCTGTGATTATGAAGGGAGGGGTACAATGTGTGTTTGTCACGTCAAGACAAACGCTCACAGAGCTCTGGATGATCTTTTGTCTAAAACTTAAAACTAGGATTTTCATGTGCAGTGTAACTGTATGCTCTTTTGGTTCCTGTATTCTGGAGGATGAATCATTGCTGCAGATGTAGTTTGAGTCAGAAAAGGCTTTGTGGCTTCTGCTGCCAGTATGAGACCGAGCCTCCTACGCCCGCGACACCAGCACCTTTGGTTTCCATCCACCTCTGCCCTCCTGTAGTCTGATGCACACCTCCTCATTATGCAGCTCACCAGCTTTGTTCTCCAAATGTAACTGTCAGTAATAATAACGTAGGCTGGAGGATGTCAGCGTTCCATGATTTATCTTAAAGCTTTATCAAGAGAGGCAGGGGGGAAAAAACCCGCTATTCTGCTTCATATGTTATTTGCACCGGTTGTTTGATTCTTCAGGTGAGTCACAGACACACCATCAACCACCAGCTCTGACTGGATGTGTGCAATGATTGGCTGTGAGCAGCTGCTGAAGCTTTGCCTGTTTCCTGTGGTTTCGATAACGATGATAAACAAGAACGGAGACGTGTAGAACGGTTCTATTAACATTTTACACCAGAGCTGCAAGAAACTGTTTAAACATTGAACCTTTATGTATATACATGAGACAGAAGAGCTGAAAGGATCAGTTGGATTTGTTTGGGTTTATTTGTGAGATTTTCACCAAACTTGAGGCCTGCGCCTGAGAGGAACTCATTACATCTTAGTGCAGATGGAGGATTTAACTTGAACTAGATCTAGTTAACTAATCAGCAGCCATTTTCTTTTCTTTATCAGTTAAAAGTACAGTGTGTAGAATTTAGTGACATCTAGTGGTGAGGTTGCTTCCAAACATGAAAAAGAACCTGTGGTAGCTTCAGTTGTCATAAAAACTCTAAAGGTGTTTAGTTTGTCCAGTCTGGACTAATGTAAAAAAAACATGGCGGCCTCCATAGAGAGGGTTCCCTCCATGTAAATATAAAGTATTTAAATATAAAGGGACTTTTCTGGGGTAAAGAAAACTACAATTCATACAATTTAGATGAAACAAACTAGTGAAAACATCATGAGGATTATTCTACATTAAATTTCTTCTAATAGTTCCCTCTCACCTAAACCTTACACACTGGAATGTTCCTGTGATAACTGGTTTAGAAGAAACAAGCAGTTCCTTGTTCTGAAAAATAAACACATTCAGTCTGTTCACACATCTGAGGAGATACAGATGAGGCACCCAAAACCACCGAACAACCAACTGATGTAACACTTTTTTGGTGACACCTTTTTGATTATTGCTCCGAGGCTGTTTTTACCGTTGACTGCTTGAGATCCAAAATTTTCTATGTTCCAGTAAAGTTCTCTGTGTGTTTCCAGCTCACCCTGCAGAGGTCCAGCAGCTTCAAGGACTTCATGAAGCACAAACCCACCTCTCCTGTTGTCTCAGAGAAGGAGTTCACACTGGAGGAGAATGTAAGATGGACGTATTCATCCTCTTAAACAGACTCATACACAAAAGACAAAACTCAGTCACAGCACAGAACCTGTTTTTCAAAGTGGATTTCTTATAAACGTTGTGTTTTAAGTTCCTGCACGACAAATATTTCATCTCATTGTTCCTCATTTGTTGATGTGACTGGTTCACGCAGTCCTGCAATGATTCTGCATCCAGAGGAATTCAAGTTGCACACAGTCCGAGCACAAACATCCTGATTTTACGCCCCGCTGCATGTGTGTGTGTGCAAATGTTTTTTAATCCACAGTAATTTGACTTCCCAGCATCGTTCTGTGCATTGTGAGTGGAAGTTGACTGACAAATGAGTGAAGTGTAGAAGAGCAGAGGAAGTAAGAAGGAGAAGTGTTGCACAGAGGCAGCGAGCAGACAGGATGTCCTGCAGCTTGAGTTAGTCGAGCACAGAGCCTCTGAGTCAGACAGACAGAAGGTTTGCGTGTGTGTGAGTGTGTGTGTGTGTGTCATTTTAGTTTCTGCATGTTAAAAATAAACCTCTCTATAAATCTCTCTTCACTCCAAAAATGTTTTGGGGGAAAATTTCAATTACATATTAACTGTTCATACAATAACTTTGATTAAATAAAGTTAAACTTTAAATATATACATTTAACACACATTTATTTTGTAACTCATGTATAAACATGGACATTTAATATGTAATTGAAAATACACAAATACACTGTTTTAGGAATCATTTTTACTTCATCAAGAAAACTTGAGATTCTACAAGTTCACAAAAAGCTTGAAAACGTCGGGTTGAGATGATTTCAGATCAGATCTCTGAAGAAGAATCACAGGAAAAAAACAGCTTTTGTAAATTCACCTTGTGTATCTCCAATGTTTTAGTAGAAGCTGAAGTGTAATTCAGCCGGCACGAACTAACTCTAACTAACTCTCAGCATTTCCCTTTGTCCTCAAACAATGGAAAGAGTTGGACGGAACATTTGCTGGAGTTAAACTACCTCTTCAAAATGTTAGAAAGGTCATTAGCTTCCATTAAGGAGCTCCGGGCCGTACACCGAGCAGACGGAGTTATGTCAGGTAACGTTTTCTCTGAAACTTTGCGGCTACAATGTTGTGCAGATGTGTGTATTTGTGTGTGTGTATTTGTGTGTGTGTGTTGTGCATTTGTAAATGTGACCTTGTGGGATTCAGCAGTTGGTTCATGCAAACCTCACGACCACAAAAGTTTTTCTAGGGTGTGAAGTGACAGCGATGCAGTTGTGAGACACAGAGAGTAAATGTCAGTGACAGACTTTTTGTATTTTTTTTGTACCTGTCTGTATCTGTCAACATTTTAATGAAATCGTTTTTTTCCTGTATTCTCCTCTCAGGTGAACGAGGCTGTTCCAGGAGAGGAAGCCGGGAAAAGTGGCAGCAAACTGGGGAAGAAATGGCGCAACGTCATCTCACGCACGATGACCCGCAAGACGTCCAAGATGGTGCAGAAGGTTCTGGCTGAGGAGGGGGTGAAGATATTTACTAGTTACCATAAATATATAACATATGAATATAACTGTAAACAGATGATAAACTGCTTATACGTTTACACCCTTCAGACAGTTTTCATGGTAGATATTTGGAATATTATTAATGATAAAAGACACTTCTACTCTTTTATAGTGATGCTGTTCTTACAGGAAGATCAAACTTGTCTCCATCTAGTGGACAAGAGTTAAAAACAAAGGCAGGAAACTCCCTTTGTTGAATTTTCTGCAGCAGGAAATGTACATTTACTCTAATACTGTAGTACTCTTAGGTACAAAATGTAGCCACTTGAGTATTTCTATTTTCGTGCCACTTTATACTTTTACTCCACTACAATTATTTGACGGCTTCATTTACCAGTTACTCTACCAAGATACCAACTTGTTCCACTGACCTGATTTTGCAAATTTAAATACAAACATTATTTTCCTACATGGATAAATAAAATTTAAAAAGCCAAAACATTGTATATAAAAAGAAGGAAGCT